CGGCCACCACTGCCAGCCGGCTCCAGCTGGTGTCGGCGGTCAACCTGTCCACGGCCAAGGACTCCAGGGCAGTGGTGACGTGCGTTGTCATCGTGCTCTCCGTCTTGGTTTGCTGCCTGCCCCTGGGCATCTCTTTGGTGCAGGACATGCTGTCCAGCAGCGGTGGCTTTGTTCTCTACCAGTTTGAATTGTGTGGGTTTACCCTCATTTTTTTCAAATCTGGATTAAATCCTTTTATATATTCCCGCAACAGTGCAGGACTTCGGAGACGAGTCCTCTGGTGCCTGCAGTACGTAGCCCTTGTCTTTTTCTGCTGCAAGCAGAAGACGAGGCTTCAGGCCATGGGCAAAGGCAGCCTGGAAGTCAACAGGAACAAGTCATCCCATCACGAGACCAATTCAGCGTACATGTTGTCTCCAAAACCTCAGAAAAAGTTTGTGGACCAAGCCTGTGGCCCTAGTCACTCCAAGGAAAGCGTGCTGAGTCCCAAGGCTTCTGTCGGGCATCAGCACTATGCACAGAGCAGCTCAACCCCCATGAACACCCGAATCGAGCCCTATTACAGTATCTACAACAGCAGCCCTTCCCAGGAAGCAAGCACCCCGAATAGCTTGCAGCCAGTGAACTCGACTTTCGGGTTTGCCAAATCCTACATTGCCATGCATTATCACACCACTAACGACTTGGTGCGAGACCACGACAGTGCTTCGACTAAGCAGATACCAGTGCCCTCGGTGTAACCTTAGGAAAGGGTTCTGATCTGGCTGATCCAGTGCGTCCCCTTCTTTGCTTCTGTTAATCGTTATTCTGAACTCAGTACAGTACTGCTGTCAATTAAGAAAAATGCCACTAATGTTAATATCCAGCTATTTGCATTTGAAGTGAATACTAGGATATTACTTCTGTGACGCTTTCTTGAATTTCTGCAGCAAGTCAAAATGGGGGTGGGTATTTTCAGTCTGTATTTGGAATTGTTACATGAAGGAGGTTTTGTTACTAAATTTTACTGCTGGACAAGTCAAAAAAAGTAAGTGCTATAACCGCGTGATTCGTTACGTCACGAGGCAGAATATCTCAAAGAACGATCTGAGGCTGCGCCAGAAGTATTACTTGTTAAATTGCGTACTTGCCATATTTTCAAGAAGGAAGAATTGGGAGGATGTTTGGTGTTGTGATGCTTAGGTTTAAACTCTTCCCATTGCAGCAGGTTGAAAGAGTCGGTGGTATTTTGTTGTAACAAGCGTCAGTAATAACAAAAGTTCTTTCTATTTGTGAGGTGAAATCCTGGTTCCATTGAGGTAAATGGCAAAATTTCCATGAACTTCAGCTGAAGTTCAGGATTTCAGTTTCGGCTGCCTAAAGCAGGACAGGGCATTTTGCAACCAGCGTCGTATTGCCGCTGGGGAAGGTCTTTTGAGAAGTGTTGTGGCACTGCAATAAACCTCTGAAGTATATATGTATTAATTTCCACTGAACATTGATTTTAAGGATTGGTGGCATTATGTATCCCAAAATGACATATTTGGAGAGGTATTTTACGTCTGATGGAAGGAAATAACTGTGCAATACCTAATTACAGATTTTACTTGAGGATGGAGATGAATATTGCAATATTATGGTATTGATACACTATTAGTAGTGCAGTTACCTCTGGAGTTTTCTAATTTGTATACTGTTATGCAAAGAGTAGTGTTGCTGCTTGCTGTTTTTGTCTATGACTTTGTATAATAGCAGGGATGGGGGAGAGCCAGAACTGACAGCTATTAACATTTTTTAAAAACAGAATGACCACATAACAAGATGACTACAAGCTTTTGAGGTTTTCCTAAGAAGTCTAACGCCCGTTTGATTTAAAAGTCAATAATCTATCTACTTACAAACTTTATCCGTTGGTCTACACAGTGAGCAAATAACAGAAGTTATATATGTTTTTATGAATCTGACTGTTCGCGTTGTGTCACATGTTCTGGGAATTCCTTATGAAACGATGATCTGGAGGCATTTAAATTCCTGACAATTACGACTTTGGCCAGATCTTTTTGAAACAAGCAATCACCTTTCAACTTCTGTGGACTTCAGCAGAGCCTTAGTATCTCTGAAACAATCATGCCACAGACTTTTGGTGCCTCATTGTAGGAAAATGTCACATCTTTAGCAAAATTACAGTGGTGGAAAGTCGATTTGTTATTTTAGAAACAAAAAACATTCACATCGTTGCCGTGTGTGAGTTGTTGGTTTCGGCTGTTTGTTAACTAAACTATTTTCAATATTTTCCTGGAAGACTATTACATTATGAACACTGTTCTTTGTTTACACTCTGAATTTTAATTAATTTTGAATAATTCAAGACAGCTTTCTTGCAATAAAATGGATGTGAAAAACTTTCTAATACAAATGTAAAATTGAAATTATTTCTGTAAGTCTTTTCTCTCTGCCGAGATATTTTTGTCTATAAATGAATAATATGGTTCTTTCTAAAGTAATTATGAAAGATGACTAAAATATCTGTCTTGTTTGTTTTTTCTGTCTTTGCATTTCTCTTCAGTACAAAGCATACTAATTTGGAGGAAAAAAATATGTGGGATCCTGTAATTTTGTCTCAATCTATGTTCTTAGCAGCAATTACAGTTTCGGATTGTAAGGAGTGTAGGGCAGGAACCCAAAACTGGCTGCCAGATGGATTCCTGTAGGTACTTTAAGGGACTTGAAGATACCCATTAGGGCTGGTTTTAACACCAAGCAGTTTTGGGGTTTGCTGCATGTGTGCATGACTCCTGCTGTGCTTTTGTTTTGGATCACATGAACTTCATCACATGGCAGAAGATTAAATCCCTCGCACCTTATTAATTAAAGTAATTTGCAGTGAGTATTCATGTGGGAGTAAAGGAAGAAGGGTACAGCTTTAAGATAGAAGGAGGTTTTATTGCCTTTACGTGATGTGTTATTAAGACAAAAGGACTGAAGTGCCTTTACAGCACTTTGTAATACTGCTCTTCTGTTAACTCCTGGTGCCAGTTGTATTCGTAATACAACCACTGTGTTAATATGCGTATAGTGACAGATAGGAAAGTGCAACACCTTTTAATCTGCAGTAGGAACAAAATCTGATTTAAGTGGTCAGTTGTATTAAATAACTGTGTTTTGGGGGAGGTTTGTGAGTGTAGAAAATAGAGCCTGGATTTTGAAAATGTGTAAGTACAATTTCCTTGAAGTGAATCATAAACTGAAGTACTCAATTGTCATATGATAAAATGAATGTGTTGGACTCTTCTGGAGTATAACTTTTCTCTTTTCCTTTAGCCTACCTGTTGTATCAGAACCCTCTTCTGCTGAGCACAGAACCAATAAAGTGTGACTGCGAGGTTAAAAAAGCAGCAGTCTAATGCAGAGGGGAAGCAACAGGGTGCTGGATGAAGGAGATGGAAAATGCATGTGAAGAGAGGAGATGGGTGAGACAGTAAGCAATAGAAGGATGTGAATACTGAACAGTTAGAAAAAGCAGGTCTGTAGTTAGTGCAGTCTGTAAAACAAGAACAAGAAAGCATCTCATGAATATGAAAGGTGGCAAATACAAGACTCAGAAACTGCTGTACTTTCCTTACTGCCTGTATGTACGCTGTGGACCTCATCGCTGCAGAACTGTTTAGAAAAAAACAGGAGGTTTAACAGGTGCTTCACGTGAGTAGGATGAATATCAGGGGCCTGACAGTTAGTGTCAACACATTTTGGAATATACGTAAAATTTTATACTCCAGAAATTAAAGCAATCTTTGATTTGTGGGGTTAGGATGAACCCATCTTGGTGGAACATGTTACCTAACGTATGTTTTCAGCGTGCTTTTCAGCTTCTTTTGAAATTGCTGGTGTTGGCCGCTGTCACGGTATTTGGCCTGAGGACTATTTATGCGGAGCGGCCTCAAAGAAAGCATAAAGCAGCTTATTAGAAAAACAGCTGATTAATTATTTGGGGCTGATCTCACTAACAAGTGACTTCTAGTTGTTTACATGAACAAAAATATTTGAAAGATTTTATAATTCGCAGTCTTTTTAAGTCATACATCTTGCTTTATGGTGATACGAGTTGACTTTTTCAGCTGTTAGCCTGCAGTAATGTATTTTTTGTCCTTTATCTGTAAACCTAAAAGCTGGTAATGCCAAATAACTTTGAACAATATCTACACAACCTCAAAAAGTTGCTAAATATTGTTCAGCAGTTAGATCTTTTTAGACTACAGATTAGAGAGCTTTCTGTAAGGCGGCATACATTTTTTTTTTTCTAAAGTCGCAGAGCCGGTCTCCCTGAGCGGTAAGGCTGCAGCAAGCTGAGGAGGGCAAGATGCAAAAATTGGACAGGCAGTAGTTAAAAAGGTTCAGTGCCTAATAACTTTGTGGTATTTTATGGTATGTATGGTTTAGGTATATAATTTGTCACTTGTTAGGAAAGCTGTGAAAATTATCCCCCATATAGTCTTCCGTACCCCTCCACCTGCAGCACAGGGAATAAAAAGTAAAGGGACTTCTGAACCGCAGGGCTGTGCTTACCTGCACCATTATCTCTTCACCTTCCACGAGGTAGCGAAGCAGGGCTGCAGAGAGCAACGTGACATGTTCACGATGAAAACTGAGAGAAGGCAGGTGGTGTAATATCTTAAAATAGTAGAATAGTCTTGCAGGGGTTAAGGTGGAGTCCTATGGGTGTTTTCTAGGTTTGTCTTCTGTCCGCTTGGAATGGGGTTTTTGATTTTTTTTTTAAGTATTTAAGAGGAGTGTATTTGCACTGATGCCACGGGTGAATGGAGGATTACATTGGTCCTGCCACTGAGCACTGGTAAGCAATTCTGCTCATGCTGCACACAGCAGTAAAGAAGGTCCCGGCACTCGATTTCACAAGTCATCTGGCTGCCAGGCTGCCAGTGATTTAAAGACCAGGAAAATAATTCTGTTTTCACAACAGTCAGTGTACATGACTCCTCATGCTTGCTGAGGAGCAGTGGGTTTGCAGAGGTTGCAGAGAGATCTCTCTGTGAATGGAGATGGTAGAGGAGGGTAAGTCCTACGCTGCTTCTCCTCATTTGCACTGGTGGAAAACTGGAGGGTCAGCACCATGGGACAAAGTGGGAAGAGGCAATTTCAAAGCGCTCCTGGGGTTTGCGAGCACTGGTTCTGTCCTCTGGTGCAATTAATGCGGGTTTCTTTGATTTGAATAGCTCTTTGGTTATTGTCAACTTCAAACACTGTTCTTCATGGATATACCAAGTACAGTATCCTTAAGTTTAATCAGTACTGGCAAATTGACTTTAAAATGTCGTTTATTATGTCGTTGTCAATTCCTATTTCAAAGGGGTTTATGTTTAGTATTACAAAAATACTTTCATTCATTACAAAAGCTGTCCCTGAACCTTGGTTCCGAGAGTCAAACATGTGACATGCTGCAGTGTGGGGGTTTTTTCTTGTTTACGAGAAAGCAGCACAGGAAGGGTGAAAACCATGTACTGCTCTGGCTGGATCATTTCCTTTTCAAAATACATTGCAGAAGAGTTGTACTTGCTCTTCATGTTTATTTCACGTTTCCCCTTTTGCCATCAAATAGATTGATATTTCCTGATTGATATATCAATAGATTGATATATCCTGGTCTTCTGCTGGCGAGTCGTTTGGATTTGCTCATTTTATGAGCAAGTCCAGATTGTGCTATGCTAAATGATTTGTTCTCACCTAGTATTTATTTTCCGTCACAGTC